GATAGGGTGAGTGGGGTTGGGGAGAGGGGGGGGGGGGGGGGGGGGGGGGGGGGGGGGGGGGGGGGGGGGGGGGGGGGGGGTATGTTCCTGCAGAACAATCAACCACTTACAGTTAACACTGTGCTTTTGTTTTTCTTTAATATCACTTAGGCCTATATTTAAGATATCTGAATGGTCATGCTGTTTCAAAACTGTGGATAAACAATTATATTGTCGTTTTAAATTGATGATTTATGATTAGTAACAAGGATGTGGAATAACATTTTTAAACCAGACAGAAAACAATGTGTGCACTTTTTATGCAATCAATTAAAAAAATACATCAATAGAATTATTAAAATAAATATTAGTTGCAGCCCTACATTTAAAGGATGACTCCTGAGAACATCAATTCAAGAAAACCACATTCAAACATCAGTTCAATACAGTAGTCACTCCTCTGCACTGTACACACACAGTTCATTTACAGAAGCGACAACCGCACAAATTCACAGGAAAAAAATAAATGAATAAATCACACAAAGACCTGGAGGCAGAGCTACAGTATTCTGAGCCAATTAGCGGAGAGTTCTACAATCCCATTCATCTCTACACTCTTAAAAATAAAGGTGCTTCAAAAGGTTCTTCAAGCGATGCCATAGAAGAACCATTTTTGGTTCCACAAAAAACCATTCAGTCAAAGGTTCTTTAAAGAACCATCTCTTTCTTACCTTTTTGTAATCTGAAGAACCTTCTTTCGCCACAAAGAACCTTTTGTGAAACAGAAAGGTTCTTCAGATGTTGAAGGTTCTTTATGGAACCATTTAGACAAAAAGGTTCTTCTATGGCATCGTGAAGCCCCTTTTTTTTTTTAAGAGTGTACTTGTGTGCCAGCAGCTTGGCACAAAAGTAAAAGTTCACCAAAGCCTTTATTCATAAAGGAGAGTTCCGTCAAAGCTAACATGTCACAGCCTGATTTGAAATAAAGCTTTTAAACTATAAAAGCGGCCCTGGACAACAACAGACACAAAACAAAAGCAATGGCCTCACATGAACGTGGCTTTATCATTTTCCAGGTGTCAATTATCTACAGTTTGTCTGAACCCTGGGGCTCTGTTCTAGTGAGCTAAGATGCTGTCTACATAGTAAGCTGCTTTCTAAAGCAGAATAAGCATAAAAAATACATACAGTGGGGGAAAAAAGTATTTAGTCAGCCACCAATTGTGCAAGTTCTCACTGACTAAATACTTTTTTGCCCCACTGTAACATACAAATGAAAAACAATTATTTTTAATTAGACTTAGATTATTATTTATCAATTGTTTTCAGTACTGACTACAAAACATTTACTAATTGAATATATTTATATAATTTATAATATATCAGTACATTATATAATATAGTATGTGTGTGTGTGTGCGCGCATATATCAGTATAATATATAATATGTTTTATGATGTCTTTAATATTTGTTTTATTTCTGAATATCTATCATCCTTTTTTTTTTTTTTTTTTTTTAACTATATAGTGGAAATAAAACACTGAAAGGAAAAAAAAACATTTTAATATGTGTTGTATAAAAATTATGAAACAATTTTTCACAAATGACAAAGGTTTATCCGTTTTCAAATACGTATAAGTTATATTTCTCATGCCTCTTCTGCAATTTTAGATCTGCAAAAGAGTCATGCAATGCTGCTTTATAATTTTTCCACTTAGAAACCATCATATTTATGCTCCTTAACTTTTGAAAGAGTCTTGATGTTTCCTATAATGCCTTAAAATGCTGCCTACACAGGCAGCTCACAAGGTTTCGAGCAGAGCCGCTGTATTTGGGTCTTCTATCTTAATTCCTACTTTTCTGTTGAGGCCAAATCACCATAAATATTTCCATAGCAACATCCCATTATCCCAGGGAATTCAAGAGTACACATACACACACACATCTCCTCCTAATTCACCCGGAGAATTAAGTGCTCTTGCACACCTGTTTCCACAACAGTGCCATAAACCAGAAACCACATCATAAATCCCACACTTTGATCAGCTACATGCTGACAGATCTCTGATGCATATCAGCCACATGACATCAACCTCAGGCTTCCCCAAATTCATGTATTGCCTCAATTAGCACATATTTACAAGTCTAATATCTTGATGTTGTATGAATCAACAAATTAGCTGCAAAATGCCTCACTGACTCATTGGCATCTTCTGTAAAGAAATGTTGTTTGCAAGGTGGAAAAGCTCCTAAATTTTGGTAATCAGAAATTACAGGTACAGAATCAGTTTCATGTGTTCATACCTGTATCCTTCTTATTTTTCCCGCCATCTCTGCTCTTCTTCAGCATGGCCTTGAACATGACGTGACTCCAGGAATCCCTTCACGACTACACTGTGGAAACACGAGAGATTTCATGCTTCACATGAAGCAGCAGGTTCATACACAGTTGCTTTGGTCAAATCAGAAGTTCTTGCAGTCTAGAGTTACACTCCAGCCGAGAGAAAATTCTCCACAGAAATCTTTGAAATACATAATGCATGTCAGTGTTTCTTTGACTACGTGCTCTTTAAAATCCCAGGGGTTGATTTTTATTAAAACTAACAGATTTACACTTTCTTTAAATGAGGACACATTACTTTTAACGTCACAAAAATGTAAACAATATCACTGCCCAGATATTCTATAAAGCTGCTTTGAAACATTTGACTTATAACTTACACTGCAAAAATGTGGTACAGACACAATTTTCCATCAGAAATTGCTAGTGAATTTTACAAACAAACAGCAAGCAATACATTGGATTAAATGTGAAATACTGAAGTAGTAAAATTGAAATAGCATTTTCTTGTCAAAGTACTCCAATAGTCTTATTCACAACTTTTTTTTACAGCATAGAAAATTTGTATTACTAGCTACTTGTCAAAGGTCTTTAATGTGTTTGATTTACAAAGACTTTCAATCTTAAAATATTAATATTCATGATAAAAATAAAACCTACGGTAATCTAAACAAAAAAACTAAAATAAACAAACCTTAAACACGAATAATTTTAATATTTGTGGTGTGAAAATGCTGGGGGGAAATTTTACACAAATTATGAAAGTCCTTCAGAAGTGGTGTCACTTCCAAGATGACCAACAATTCTGTCACTTTCTTAAAAATTAATGTACTGGTTTACCAAGATGACAACTGCGTCAGTGAGGAGCTTGAGATGAAGTATAAGATATGTGATTTGTGTTTAAAAAAAACACAAATAAACGTTAACATCACTTATGAAGAGAATATTTTAATTGTACATCATTTTCAATTAAGATGCTTTGTTGCATCCTCATTTGTAAGTCACTTTGGATAAGTATCTGCTAAATGAATAAATGCAAATGTAAACTAAGTAATTTTACCAAATGTCATTCCCACAACAAAACGTTATCAAGTTATCAGTTGATAATTGAATACGTGACAGAAAGTGATGGTTCAGAACCAAAAAAGATCAAACCAACAGAATTATTGTGTGCATGTACAGTATGTCCACATTATTAATAGACTAATCACATAAACGAGTGTGTGTGTGGAGAATGTGTTTCAACAGAGTTTATTTTCTAAAGGTCCACAGGGCCAAAAAGTGCTCATAGTTTAAGAAATGCATTTAAAAAATGATGTTTTAAAAAAAGAACAATCTAAATAACTTCTTGTATATTTTATTTCTCCATTTGGCCAAATTCTGGGATTTTTCCCACAGTCCACCCACTGTAATGCGTGATCGCTGTGGGCCGGCATGGAAAGAATTCTTCAATATTTGCACAGAGCGGCTCTGCTCCACTATCTTGTTATTCCGGAAAACAAGCTGTTGGATTCCCAGCATTCCACATATAATTGATGCTAAATGACTGAACTTGGGCTTGCCGTGCCACTTGTCATGATAGCGCTGAGGTTCCTTCACCTCTTGCATGTTGTTTGTCAGAATTAGCAGCACGGGTCAAATGCATTACAACACGTCTATTTATCTGGTTAGACTGTTTCTGCACTGTAAACTTCACTCAGGGTGCGATGGCAACACAGAATAAAACATTTTTTAAAAAGGTAATTATGACTCCCAATTACAATGATTTTTGTGTTTATATCTCGCAATTTCAAATTATAAACATTATTGAGAGTTTCAGAATTGTGCATCATAAATTTGCAATTGCTAGTTTAAATCTCGCTATTTTTGCTTTTTTTATCTGCAGATGAGTTTATATCTCACAATCCTGTCTCGTGGTCCTTTGCCGATCCCTCACCCCTCTCCCCACTCGATGCTTTCCTGTCAACTCTATACTGTCCTGTCCAAATAAAGGCTTAAAAAAATCCCATAAAAAATAATCCTAAAAAATAAATATCTAAAAAATAATTCTGACTTTCCATATTGCAATTTTGACTTGTTTTATCTGAATTGAGTTTAAAATTCTATTTTTGTTTGTTTAGTTTTTTGCAACAAAAAAATAAAAAAGTAATTGCAACTTCATCTCAATTCAGACTTTTACTTTTCAGAATTGTGAGTTTACATCACATTTCTGAGTTTATATCTTGCAATTCTGAGGTTACATCTCGCGAGTTTTTTCCTCAAATTCTGACTTTTTTCTTAGAATTCGGAGTTTACGTCGCAATTATTTCACAATGCTCACTTTCTTCCTCACAAATCTGTGTATATCTGACAGTTCAGAGTTAATATCTCGCTCTGATAACTTCTTTCTGCAATACTGAGAAAAAAGTCAGAATTGTGAAAAATATGAACCGAGATAAAAAGTCACACTCACTTTTTTTTTTTCTTGTGGCAGAAACAAGTTTCCATATGGTGCATCTTGCAGCTAGTTTGTGTAAATTAAACAAGCAGGTGACTAATTAAAAACACATCAGGTGCGTGCAACATTATTATTACTACAATTGTATTTCTTTTCAACAGAAAAATGAATGCTTCACACATTAATTGATCTCATATTCTGTTCTATGCGTTTTATTTCTGCACTACAAATGATATTCTCATCGCCTCCTCTGAGAAAACGGCCCTGCTTCAATGACTAGAAGAGTGAAATATAAAGTGTGCCTGACAGCTCTGCTCAGATGAGACGAAACAAGGTGAGGGGTCTGAATCTGGAGCCGTGCTGAACTCACAGCGGAGGCCACAGCACAGAGATCAAGCATGAAAAAAGCCTGCAGGTCCCTCCCCAGGAGGCAAGCGGCCGGTCCGATGCACATCGATCGCAGCTCTTGGATGAGAAGGCCTGCTGCGGCCTCATCCAGAGTGAGAAGTCAAAAGTTGAGGAGAGAGACCCTCGACACGGAGTACAGAAGCTAAGTTAAAAAGAAACACTGGACCCCACAAGAGGTAAACAAATTGGGTTCACACTGCTTATCTGGCTGAAAACTAGCATCTGCGGGCAGCTTTGTTGTTGAGTTTAACGTGCAAGGGTCAAAGAGCCCAAAAAAGTGCTGTAAATAAGCTTGAATATTACTGCAGACAGCTTGCACAGCACAAATCTTATGAAACAAAAATCTCAGAGTTAAGCTGTAAATGCAATAAATTATTCAAAAACACAAAATCAGTTTCAAACATTAAAACCAGAACAGGGCTCTATGGATACTTTTCTTTTTAGGAGCGCTTGTGCTCCTAATTAAAAAAATTTAGCACCTTCTAATCAGTAATCAAAAATTCTGATAAAAAAATTAACCTTCCCATTACGAGGTGATATTTGACTCAAAAAAGTGATTTATAGGGAATTTTGTTTTTACCTTTGTAATGGCATTTTTCTAACTTTATTAAAAGTATGTTCTCTTTTATGTCAAAATCAAAAAAAAAATATTTAAGCTTTTTAACATTTCTAATTAAAACAACAGAATAAAAACAAGTAGAATAAGAATAAGTTACCAAATACGTCTGTGATACATTACTCAACACTGCAGTTACGTATATTAGAACCTTTGAAGCTCCCTCAGCGCAAACACAAATATGCTGATCGGGTCAGTCGCACAGGTGCTCCTAAATATTATTTCATAGTCGCACGCAGTAGCTTTCAGTCGCAAATGCGACTGAAATGGTCGAACTGTAGAGCCCTGCAGAAATATACTTTACTTTAATTCAATAACGCAGTTGCCAGTGCTTAACCAGCATACTGCACAAATTGTTTGTGCAAGTAACAAACCTTGGTATTATAATAAATTAACTTCAAATGTCTGTGCCAAAACCACTAGTTTTATTATACAGACTAACTAATTTACAGATTTTTTTTTTCAATTTTACACGCTTCCACCTTGAATGCAACTTGCGTAATTTTTTTGTAGTAAATCAACATTGTTACAAATTGCTCATTGTTATTTTACAATGCATTAACTTAATTAAATTAATTGAAGTGATAAAGAAATATTATACCGCCACAATAATGCCTATTATTTTACTATAAAATGTAAACAATTAAATAATATTTATTATTATTATTATTATACAATATTTTATAATAAAATAATAATAATAATATTTTACTACAAAAAAATTTAATCAAGTATTTAATAAATTAAAACGTTATAATACAAATCTTAATATAATTATTATAAATATAATTATTTTACAGAACAACAGTAAAATTTAAAAAACAAACATTTATGTTTTATATTTGTATTTTCACAGATTTACGCAATTCACATGGGTTATACTTTTCAGGTCGTAAAATATGGGAAAATCACATCCCTGCTATATGGACTGCTATTAAGTATTACATTAAAGAAAATGAATAATAAAGTGAACAACTGCGTGTTTGTGTGGATTATAGATTCATAATAAATTTATCGAAACATACTCAAGACAAACTCTGAATGTGATCTGTCTGCGTATGAGCTTTTCCATCGTGGCAGTTGTTCCTGTTACAGGATAGTGAAGTGAACCTCCTAAAAGACTCAAATGTGCAGCACATGCAAGCAATTACAGCAGCGCGTCTCATTCCAGACGAGCTCTCTCACTCCATCCATCTCTGAAGCAGCAGCTACAACCAAAACAGCAGCAGCCAGATTCAAGAAGCTGCGAAACGAATGAGATGAGAGAACAGGAATTCTGCCACCTTCACAATCTGTATAAGTTGAGCTGGGTGACATATGCCAAAAAATATACCTTGCATTATTTTTCAGCCTTCTGACAATCTTTGATATTTATGTATCTTTCTTAGAAAAGGCTTAAAACTAAGGGTGAAAAGAAATCTGGAGTCTTTCAACAGAAACCCAGTAGATTCAAAATATTCAAGAAAAATATAGTAAAAAAAACACGAGTTAAAAATAATCAAGGCATGTTTTTCCACTGAATATTAATATATTTCATTATTTTTTATTATATGCACCAATATAGCAATACAAACAGCCATATTTGTACATAA